AAACAGTCAATCACAAAAGACTGCTGGCTCGTCAGTGCCTGCCATGGCATCGTTGGCCAGTTCTTAGGCACTAGAGCCTGAAGGTCCATTTGCTGTAAACTAGAAGGCAGGACAGCAATTGTATCTGACTTGATTTTTAGTTCAGCGGTTCAGTGCCTTGTACACTCCCAGGCCTAGAGGAGATTTAGCAGAAGCTAGCTGACAGTGAGGTACTCCACTCCCGAAGGGAAAAAAGTGTTCCCAGGAGCGCTGCCAGCTGCTTAACGGCTCACCTTACTCAATTCTTCTGGCTAGTCTAGCTTAGTCTGGAAGCTCCACTGAAATCTGTTCACTATCATAACAACACACAAGCCTCCACTGACAGATGGGTGGTGGCTGCTCACAAGTTGCATTGGCTACTCATGAGGTGAATCTAAACCGCATGGAAGGCAAGAATTCCGCCATTGAACCACCACTTGCCCCTATGAGTTCTCAAAATACAGAGCGGTCCAAGAGAAGTTCCTCATGTGAGATGCCAAGTGTGTTGGCGTGTGTCTAGGAGCACAGGTGAGACACCAAGGCACCCTGGAGCCACAGTTCTTTAACCTTCCAAACTCACATTCTCATTCCTTTTTACTCAAAGCTTATACCACTTTGTTTTAGCAAACCAACTAGAGCAAAATAAATAAATGAATAAAAAATAAATAAGTGACAGAAATATATACTGTGAACATCTTTCCATGTGATTAAATATTCTTCTACAACATTTTTATGGCTGCTTAGTGCTATGTTCTATGGTCAATGTCAACATTTATTTAACCAATCACTATTGTTAGATTAGTTTAGTTTTAGATTAGTTCCAGTTTTTACTTAACGATAAAAAATGGTATAACAAACATTCTTATTGCTAAATACAGTAGTGATTATTTCTTTAGAAAACATTCCTTTATCAAAGAGTCTAAACATTCAATTCAAGGCTTTTGAGATAAATTGCCAAATATAACTCCAAAAGGTTGAATCAATTCAGAATCATACAACAGTATATGAGAGTATCTGTTTTCCCAACACTAAATGTTTACATGAAACAAAAAAGTCCATTTGATAGACAAAAATATGGCATCTCATAGCTTTAATTTGCTATCAGTCATAAGGCCAACTTGTCATATGTTCATTGGACACTTGTGTTTCTTCTTGGTTGATTTATTGCTCATGCGCTTTGCTCTGTCTTTTACTGAGGTATTCTTCTTTTTCTTATTGATTAGTGAGAGCTTTTTATATATTATGATATTAGTTCTTTTTCATGTATGTTAATATTTTTCCTTTTTGTTTTGCCATTTGCCTTTACATTTTATTTATTGTGTTTTTGACATTCAAACATTTTTTAAGTTAAATGTATCAATGTTTTTCACTTCAGAGTCTGTCTTTGGTGTTTTTTAAGGAAGTCTTTCCCCTAAAGATTATATAAATATTCACCTGTGCTTTTCCCCAATACTTCCATGGTTCTGTTTTTGAAATCTATTCTAGTGTAACGGCTGATGTGGGAATGTCTTTTTTTTTCCCCCCAAAGAGTTAATCCTTTCATAAATAAACTATCTTTTTCTTACTGATGTTAAATGGTACTATAATTATATTCCAAATTGAGTCTGTTTCTGGATTTTGAGCAGTTTGCCACAGGCTACTAACCTAAAGGGATGGCGCTTTGAATCCATCCGGCGTCTCCAGGGAAGAAAAGCCTGGCGATCCGCCTCTGAAAAGATTTAAAAAAAAAAAAAGCCCACTGCCAAGGAGTCCATTCTGACTCACAGTAACCCAGTAGGGTTTCCAAGGCTGTAAATCTCTATGGAAGCAGACTGCCACATGTTTCTCCCGCAGAGCAGCTGGTGGTTGAAATGGCCCACCTTTCGGTTAGTAGTACACCGCTTTAACTACTGCTCCAGCAAGAAACCCTACAGAGCAGTTCCACTCTGTCGGCATCAGTCAGACTGACCTGGTGGCAGCTAATGACAACAACCCCCTTGTCGTCAAGTCGATTTGGACTCAAAGCGACCCCACAGGACAGAACAGAACTGCCCCATAGGGTTTCCGAGGAGGGGCTCGTGAATTCGAACTGCTAACCTTTTGGTTAGCAGCCAAGCCCTTTACCACTGCACCACCAGGGCTTCTATGACGATAATAACAAGGTTATATTAGTTTTTGAGACAGCAGACTCAGGCTTTAGCTACTATTTGACTTTGTCATCAACGAAACAGCTTAGGCCCTTTTCCCATAAACTAGAAAATACATTTCACAGATGAAGATGCACTCACAATTTGCTTTGGTGAAGGAACCACTGAGAGAAGCCTTAAAGCCAAGAATAAGGTAAGGAAGGGCCTTTCTAACTAACAGGGTTGTGGAATGATGGGTAGTGTGACAGCTTCCACGCTCAGGACAGGTGGGCCTGTCAGTGAAGAAATTCCTGGATGCGTCACTTTAGTGTTCTTTGTTCCAGGTAAAGTCCCGGAGAAAGCAGATACAGCATTTGATAACTGTCCTTTAGCCACTTTTTAGTCTTGCTTGCTGTTCCCAAGGCCTGGTTGGGAGCAGTGAGAACTTAAATTTCTTCTATTTCTCTCATGTCTATGCCAATACGTGTGTCTGACCATGCAAAATGGAAATCAATTCTCAGGGTCCCAATTACACTGTGCCTAGTACCCTGGGGTCCTGGAGAGTTTCAGTCAGGGTCCTCAGCAGCCTCTCTATTCCATCACAGAGTTTAGCTCCTGTGACGCCTTCCTCCCTCTCACCGTTCCCTCCCCCACGGTGCAAATGCCCGCCACACCTCCTGAACGCCGCTGTGCACGAGTGCGGGACGCAGCCGGTGAGCCCGCCAAGGGCTCTGGCACTGCCGCCCCCAGCGGACCTTAGCAGGCGGCCAGATGAACAAATGGGCGGCCTCTCTAGCCGCGTCTGATAGGCCCTCTCCAGCTGCCTCCAAACCGGAAAGATCAGGCTTATGAACAAGTCGACCTTGCTTGAAATCCAGAAGGAGGCCTAATTACAGGGCTACTTGTCTCAGTTTTCCCTGTTACCCTAAATCCTGGCGTAGATCATAAGGAGTTAAGTTAGGAACTGAACGCTGGCTTTAGAGGTAGGGAGGAGGGGAAGGCCAATTACGCTTCTATTGGTAGGAGACGAACACGTGATCATGAGTACTAGGCTCTTCCGTGGCACCACAAGTTTCTTCAACTAGTTCATTTTCATTGGGCTCAGCCCACTTCACATTATTGGGCTTTGCTTTCTATTAATCTGCCCCTTAAAATGTAAAAACCCTTTTGGAGTAGATTACATATATCCCCTTCCACTGCTATTCTTCCAGGTAAATGAAGTCACTGAAAAAGTACAAAACAGCCTGGTTTGTTTTAACTTTTGCCACCAAATAAGGCAGAGAGAAGGTGTTGAAGAAGAGGTGTTTTCTCTACCATTGGTTCAGCCAACTAGAAAGTAGATTTTTCTTTGCAAAGTGTACAGCCAAGCCCAGAGTCAGTGGTTATAAAAATAGATGGCACCAAAAAAAAAATTAAAAAGCATCTAGTCTCTGACTCAGGCTCAGCGGAGCCACCCAGTGCAAAGGATGACGACTGGGGAAAAGAGACGAGATCCGTGACGCTTCCAGGACCTTTCCAGCCCTTCCTTCCTCCTCCCATCTTTCCTCTCTTCCTCCCCCACTCCTCGTGGAACTCTGCTAAACACTGGGGAGGGAACATGGTGGTGAACTAGACCCAATCCATGCCCTCCTTCCTCCTCCCCCCTTCGCTTCCTGTAAAATTTCTGAGTCGGATGAACTGTTACCTTGTATTTTTACTTAATTCTTCATTTGTGTAGTTTATTTCCCCTAACTCAGCATATCCCTCACAGCTCATCCCAAGCTCAAGATGAAAAAAATGTTTTTGAATGAATAAACAAATTTATAATCCTCACTCCGTGGGTTCATTAGGAGAAACTGGCCCCTTTAGGGATGTTTCCACAGACTAATCAAAACTGGTAAAACTTTTTAGAAAACTGCAATAAAGAGTTTGGTTTGTCTTTAAGTTATACTCTGAAGCTTTACACTCAGAGTTAAAATATTCCCACAAAGAGCATTTATGAGCTAGCCATTGATTTGAGATGTCCCCATTATTATTATTTTTTAAGATTTTACCATGAAAAAGTTGAAGCAGATACAAGAGGGAAGCAAGCCCTCATATTCCTATCCCTCAGCTCCAACAAGTAGCAATTCATGACTGATTTTGTTTCACTTATAGTTCATCCAGGAATCCCTCAGTGGTACAAATGGTTAATGTGCTCAGCTGCTAACTGAAAGGTTATCAGTTCAACCAGAAGTGCCTTGGAAGAAAGGTCTGGCAATCTACTTCCAAAAAGTCAAAGCCATTGAAAACCCTGTGGAGCACAGTTCTACTCTGACACGCGTGGAGTCACCATGAGTCAGAATCGACCCAATGGCAACTGGTTAGTTTTTGTTTTTTGGGGTTTTTTTTTGGTTTTACACTTCATCCATTCATTATCATCCCCTCCTCTCAAGGACTATTTTGAAGCAAACAAAATACATCATGTCATTTGATCCCTAAATATTCAATGGGTATCTCTAAAAGATGACTCTTTAAAAAAAAAAAAAAAGTTTCCTTCATGGTGCCCCAATCTTTGAAGCGGAGCCTGAAGGCTGCTGAGTTCCCTTAAGATGTGCTTCTGTGGGTTCAGGAAACTGTTTCACACACACACACCCCGCCCCCATACACACAGGGGAAGTAGCTTCTTAAGACAGGCTTAAATGCACAGACTCTGAAGCCACACAAGCTTAGAATCCCAGCTCCACCACTTCCTACCTCTTTCTAGTCCCTATTCTGTGACCTTGAGCAAGATAGTTAACATTTCTGTGCCTCAGTTTCCTCATCTGAAAGTTAAGATAGGTAATATACTTACCTCCTTGGGTTTCCCTCAATTACAATTAAACGTGTTAAAACAATGTGAAGCAATTGGAACAGTGCCTGGCAAAGAGGAAGTACCATGTAAGTGTTGCTATTGTTATTCTTTGCTTAGTTCATATACTGTTTCTACCAGTACCACCTACTCCCTAAATTCTGACAACGATAGTCCCTCACATGTGTGCAGCAATGTATGTATTTCTCAAAGCACTTGAATGTACGTTTTTGAGCTCACTCATGCCATAATCTGTGAGCGTGTGAGGCCCAAGGGCATTCAGAGGTGTTAAAGTACAGCAGGAGAAATGCAAAGATTTAGTTACAATTAGCCCTGTTTATGATGCGTCAGATATAGGAGACTTGGTGGCACAGTGGCTAAGCTCCAGGCTGCTAACCAAAAGGTCAGCAGTTCGAACTCACTAGATGCTCCATGGGGAGAATGGTGTGGCAGTCTGCTTCGTAAAGGTTACAGCCTTGGAAACCCTGTGGGCCAATTCTGCCCTGTCCTATAGGGTCCCTATGAGTTGGAATTGATTCTAGGGCAATGGTTTTTTGTTTGTCTGTTTGCTGATGATAGGTGAGAAGAAAGACCTGGTAATCTACTTCCAAAAAAATCAACCATTGAAAACCCCAGGGAGCACAGTTCTACTCTGACACACCTGGGATCAGACATGATTGATTGGTTGGTTGGTTGGTTATGATGGGGAGAAATCTGAGCAAAGTAAAGGTCTAACAATAGAGATTGTTAAATAAAATATAGCATATCCATAAGGTGTCAATATTATAAATGAGGCAAAAGAATATCTAAAATAAAAATTGTTAAAAATAAAATAAAAAAAAGAAAGTTATAAAATAGTATGTAAAATATTAATCCATCATGCATTTTTTGGTGTATTATGCTTGGTGAAAAGACCAGAAACACACACATCAAAATATTAACATTGGTTATTTCTTAACGAAGCAACAAGAAGTCATTTTTCTTTTCTTTTTTGGGCTTGAATTTTCTAAATGTTGCATAATGAATATGTATTACTTTTCAATAAGGGAAAGGTAATTGTTTAAAAGCAGGACATAATTGTATATGCAGTACCATCTCAGTTATGAAAAACATAAGTGAAAATAGCAAAATGTTTATGACACTATTGTAGGTGATTTTTTTCTTTATATTTTCAGCATATTCTGGGGGCAATAAGTTGTTTCTACGAAGATGATTCAGATAGGAAACTGAGGCACAGTAAGACGGCAGGAAGGCTCTCTGGCGCCACACATACACCTCTGCCTGCCCTGCCTTAAAAGAATCAGAGCAGGTGAGGTCAAGCCACCCCAGAGATGCCCAATGTTTTGTCTCATCCCTGACCCATGACTTAAAGCTCAAGGCCGTGACTGTCACATAATAACAGGGATGCAGTCTCCGAGCCTCTTCTCTTATTCTTGGCTAAAAAACACTGTGATAAGCTACAGGATGAGAGAACAAATGGGCTGCAGGGCCCTGTGTGTGTTGGGGTTGTGGCTGTGGGTGCTCAGCCTGTCAAAGGCATCACCCTTGCTATCTGGAGGGGCAGGAAGCCAGTCCATCAGCTGTGCCACACAGACAGCTGTGCCTCCCCAGATTCTAAAGCTGCAGCCATCTCCCTGCTCCAGATGCCAGCTGTTAGGGAGGAGGGAGGCCTGGAGGCAGATGTGTCAATAAGTGATAGGAGCCCACCCAGTCCAAATATTTTCACCCTCCCTGATCTGCTTTCCTAACAAGCATGTCTAGAACAAAATAAAACAAAACCAAAAACAAATAGAGATGAGGAAACAAAAGGAAGCGAGAAAATGAGAGGGAAGTATTTTCTAGATAAAGCATCTACTTGAAATGGCAGTTGGGATTCTCTGGGCAACCTAGGAGACAGGTATCAGGAGCGTGACGTGGTTCGATGGGCAAAGCTATGGGCTTAGCAGTCACAGGCCAATACTCCTTCTTTCATCCACCGCCTATGACTGTATTATCCAAGGCACGTTCTCTTCCTAGGGCAGTGCCCCTTCCGGAAGAAGCAAGTGTGACCGCAAGAGTCAGAAGGACTCCTTGCTCCTGGAAGGTGAGCTGCCAGGGCACATCTGCCCTGGATAACCACAGGAAGGAGTAGCTGGTTAGGCCTTATGTCAGGAAGATCATCGTGGCTGTTAGACCTGCTGCTTCTAGACCTCCAGGTGAGGAAATAGACGCCAGCCTTTTGTGCTGCCCTGTGTGGGACGCAGAGCCGTGGCTGGCCTGCCTGTCAGTGCATTCGGCTCTGAGTGGCTCTGATTGTTATGGCTGGCCCTCCAGCAGGCTCACACAGCCCACGAGAGGGCTCACATTGGCTCCAGAATAAACCACTTAACCGGGGATTTTTTTTCCCCCAGGTAGAATGGAAGCAAAAAGTATCAATGACCTATTGCTACTAAAATTTTACACACAGCCCTGGAAGCTCTAGGCAATTTTTTTTCAGTACGTTTAAAGGCAGTTACATACCTGTCTTTGCACAAATGAAGTCTCTAGCAGTGATTTCACTTAGATTTGAAGGCAAAAATATGAAAGTAGAGCAACAGTGAACATTTGAATAGTAGGAAAGAATAATTCTCCCTTACTCCCTATCTTCCTAAGTTTTCCTTTGCAGGTTTGCTCTCAAAATCCCACTGAATCCTTCCATTGGCATCCAAATCTGGCTTTGTGGATCAGTTCAGGTTTAAGGTGCACTCCCCTAAGCTAGCACTGGGCAAGAGGTGGAGGAGGATACAATGGAAGAGTAAGACTTGGTCTTAATGTCCCCCAATCCAGAGCAGGTGACAGAAGTCACACCGGTGGGCTGACACTGACTGGAACAGGGCAGGCAACAGTCAGGTTCTGACCTAAATCATGTGATACAGTCCACGAGTATGCTCATTCCGAATTAACACCATCCTCAAACAAAACATATGAACTGAATCCTAAAATGGAACTCCTGTAAGTTCACATCAGCCTGGGCTGTTAATAAATGTGCTTCAGGGATCATCCTCTGCTCAGAATGCAGGAGCTAGAGTATGACCACTCAGTACCATGCCAAGGGCATTGTGGGTCACATGGCAAGCTACGGCTGCTAAGCAAAAGGTCAGCAGTTCAAACCCAACAGCTGCTCCTTAGAAACCCTATAGGGCAGTTCAACTCTGTCTTATAAGGTCGCTAAGTCAGAATTGATTCAACAGCAGTGGGTTTGGTTTTTGGTTTTAAAAGCAACAGCACCTGAGTCTTTTTAAAATGTATTTGGCAGTGTTTATATATGTCTCACCCAGAAGATGGAGTCCCTGGGTCGCATAAACGGTTAAGCGCTTGACTACTAGTGGAAAGGTTGGTGGTTCAAACACACCCAGAGACACTGCAGAAGAGGGCCTGGCACTCTGCTTCTGAAAGGTCACAGCCTTGAAAACCCTATGGTGCACAGTTCTACCCTGCACACATGGATTCACCATGAGTTGAAATTGACTCGATGGCAATTAACAACAACAAAACCCAGAAGACAACAAAGAAGAGAAGATACTTACTGGGACTCCCAACTAACTTCCACAGCAGATCCACCTCTCTTGCTGAATGTATTTTCTTAATTTACTCAGTGTTTGTTTCTCTCTTTTAAAGGCCTAGTCAAGCCTCACATCTTCTCTCCAACTCTCACTGATATCTCCTACTGTTCTTCCAATGTCACATGAGTGTTATTAAACTAAACTAGTTAATGATTTACAGTCTATGTTTTATATTTAATACACTGACTTATTCTGTGTACGTTGTCGCTCGAGAGGCTGTAGTGGCCAATACTTTCTTTGAGCTCCACCGTGGTGCCCACACAAAGTCCAGCTAGCCTATTACCAAGAAAATAATGATAAACACCATTCAAAGTATCTAGTAATTGTCTGTGCTCTATCACTTAACTTGATATAAATGAACCTCTGCATAGCTGAATACTTCCAGTGAACATTTACGTAGCTACTTTGGAAAGCCAAACACCTAATGATAGCCATGGCTTGCATCTTTTGATGAAAAGCCAACTAGATTTTTGTTATGATATTGTTCAAACCCATATTCATCTGCAAAAGGATTACAATCAAAACCATCATTATTTCAAATAATAATTTGTATAGTTGGTGGTAATCTCAGTCAAATAATATGTCTTTCACTCTGTTGTACATAGGATGAGTCAGAACCAGCTTGATGGTAACTAACAACAATATGTGTGGTAAATATAATATCTGTGAATAACAATTACCAAAAAGCACAAACACATCCAAGAAATATTTCAAGGCTTAAATCCATAAGCCAACTCTACCTAAGAGAAGAATGGTAAGTAAAACATGAATTTTCTCTCTGTTTACACATCTGGTCCAAAAGCTAATGGCTAATATATTTCACTTACTATGAAATTTAGAATTATAAGCTACTTGTATCATGCCTGTGAGTTGCTAACTTACATTATGTGCCTATATATATTTCTATGTAGACACCCTCAATCAAGAAAAAAATATATAACTGAACAAATCATTCACATCAGGATGGAAACGAACACAAAGGTAAATAGCAATTAATTTCTTAATTATTTCCTCCTTATTAGGAATATTAGTCATTGTGTTGTATGTGCTAAGTATACAGGTAGTCCTCAACTTATGGTGAGGTTCCATTCCAACGACTCCATCATAAATCCGTTCTGATGTAAGTTGAATACCTCTTTTTTTTTGGTTGGTTTTTGTTATTATTGCCTTTCATTATCAGTATCTTTATAAATCTAATCTTTATTTGTCTTTGGGGGCTGGGAACATTACATAAAAACTTACAGATATGATGACATCAGCAAATTACATACTGCAACATTATGTGTAGTACATATTACTAACAATAAGATATACAAAAAAACAAAAACAGATGGTCACAAGTGTGGTTCGTCATAACTTGAATACGTTCTAAGTGGGGGACTACCTGTACTTCCTTTGTATAAAATTGAGAGGAGGTCAGTCTAAATTAGAAGTCTGCAAGAGACTAATGGACCACAACTACCACGGCCTCCACCAGACTGAGTCCAGTACAACTAGATGGTGCCCGGTTACCACCACTGACTGCTCTGACAGAGATCACAATAGAGGGTCCTGGCCAGAGCTGGAGAAAAATGTAGAACAAAATTCTAAGTCACAAAAAAGACCAGACCAGACTTACTGGCCTGACAGACACTGGAGAAACCCCGAGAGTACAGCCCCTGGACACGCTTTTAGCTCCGTAATGAAGTCACTCCCGAGATTCACCCTTCAGCCAAAGATTAGACAGGCCCATAAAACAAAACAAGACTGATGGGGCACAGTAGCCCAGGGACAAGGACTAGAAGGCAGGAGGGGACAGGAAAGCTGGTAATAGGTTGAGAAGGGAGAGTGTTGACGTGTCGTGGGGTTGTTAACCAATGTCATAAAACAATATGTGTACTAACTGTTTAATGAGAAACTACTTGTGCTATAAACCTTCATCTAAAATTCAATAAAAATAAATAAATAAGAAGTCTGACGTAGAGATTTGAAAAATTACTTTCAAGTACATAAACAAAAGTACCATATTTCCAATATAAAATTAGGCTGGTTGAGTCTGGCCTAGTATAGTTTTGACTGTAACAAGTAACTGAAGATGATTTTTAATTCAAATATCCAAGAGCCTACCTAAGCAATCATGACCCCTGCTTACAATGAATTACTATGGATTATTTACATATAAACACGTGTATCTTAAATGCTTTAAATTATTTGTTCTTTTAAGCAGATAAATAATACTTATATTAGTTTACTATGCTGTAGCAAATTACCACAAATTTAGTGGATTAAAGCAATGCAAACGTATTCTCTTACAGTTCTAGAGGCCAGAAATCCAAAATCCATTTCACTGGGCTGAAATTAAGATGTCGCCTTTTCCAGCTTCTGGAGGTCATCTGCATTCCTTGGCTCATGACTTCTTCCTCCCATCACTCCACCCTCTTATTCCTGTCCTCACATCTCCTATTTCCTTCTTTGACCTTCTTGCCTCACTCTTATATGTATCCTAGTGATTACACTTAGGGCTTACCTGGATAATCCAGGCTAATCTCCCTATCTCAAAATCCTTAATTTTAATCACACCTGGAAATCCCTTTTGCCATAGTAGGTAATATTTACAGTTTCCAGGGATAGTACGAGCATATTTTTGGGGGGCCATTCTTCAGCCTACCACAGTATTCATCTGTGTAATCTAATTTACACTGTGCCTTTACAAGGGCCTTCTTTTAAAGATGGTGCAAAAGTAAACTTCAGACTAGGGAGTCATGATTACAATCTGAGTCTCATGTCCTGGTACTGAAGAAGGTGCTGGATTGGTAGTTTGGAGACCTGAGTAATTTAAGTCCAGCTCTGCCACTGAAGAAGTATGGTATAGTGGTTAAGAAACAGACGGACTTGGTTCTTGGTTCTGACTTATTAACTGAATGACCTTGGGCAAGTTACTCAACTCATCTGTAGAGTAATAAAACCTCTGAGGCAGGGCTGTCCCTGAAGATTAAATGAGTAACTGTATGTAAAGTGACTGTCAGAGTAAGTTGTTTAGGAAATAGATGTTATCTCTATTATACTCTGTTAGACCTACCACCTCACCTCACAGAAATGATGAAATGATGTCCATGATTTTGTTTTTTCTAAAAGTTAAAAGCATCTCACAAGTGGAAATGCATATTATGATAATAGACAAGGTAAGTTCAGCCTATCCTCCTATCGTTTTTCTCCTATGCTAGGATGAGAGCAGAAGTTAGGGTATAGAAAAGGATGGGTCTCCATATCATTAGTTGGAAGGGTGAGTGAATGTTCATGTATAGAACAGCTTTGGGTATTAAGGGATCAAAGGGGTAAAAGAAATATGAGAGAATGTGTTCTTGTGGGGCATAAGAAGGTAGGAAGGACCATTTGAGTCCACTTTTATACTTACTGACTGGTTGATTTGGGCAAGTCAGCTCTTTGAATTTCAGTATTCCCATATGTAAAGTGGACATTCTGAAGTGTAGCCTATCTATTTCTTGTTATCGTTATTCTTGTTAGTTGCTGTTGAGTCAGCTCCCACTCATGTCAACCCCATGTACAACAGAATGAAATGTTGCTTGGTCCTGTGCCACCTTCATGATTGTTGGTATGCTCCAGGATGTTGTTGCAGCCATTATGTAGTGCCATCCAACCTAGCGGGTTCATCTTCCAGCACTATATCAGACAATATTCTGTTGTGATCCATAGGGTTTTCATTGGCTAATTTTCTGAAGTAAATCAACAGCCTTTTCTTCCTAGTCTGTCTGAATCTGGAAGCTCTGATGAAACCTGTCTGCATAGCCTCCAGGGTCATAGCAACACACAACCCACCACAGTATATATGACAAACTGACAGACAGGTGATGTATCTCTCTCTTGAAAATACTGTAATACACCCACTCCTCACTTATCACCATGGGTAGGTTCCAAACACCAGGTCATTATGCGAAAATTGGTGTTATGTGAAAATGGAGGATGACCACATCAGATCACAAACTGGAGTATGACTATATCATCACATAACTGCCAAATTACATCGTTACATAACTGCCAAACCACTGAGAATCATGACCCAGCCAAGCTGACACATAACCTTAACCATCACAGCCAGTGTTACTCTTGCCTTGCACCTTGGCTTTCCTTACTGCTAGACGTATGTCATTAATGCACAAAATAGTTCAATAGTAGATTTTTTACTGTCATAAACGCAAAATGTCGGATAATGAGATAGTCGATAAGTGAGGAGTAGGTGTAATTGCATACAAACCAAGATAATGCTTTTGAAGTGTCATGTAAATGGTACATGCTCTATAATTCTAAGGTGATCTCATAAAAATTGTGATGATGAGATATGATCAGAAGAGGCAATAATGTTCACCCAACTTCAGAACTTGCCTTCTGTATCAGCAGGAGTGTATCAGCATGGAAAAAACAGCCAACACTGCTAAGGAAAGCACTTTGCAACAAAACAATGTAAGCAAGCAACTCTAGATCTCCTCTGAGCCTTGTTTCTTTCCTAAATAACCAATACAAACACTTCCTTCTTCAGGACACATGAAGCTGCATACATTTGTACCCAGATGCCTTGAAGGAAAGGCAGCCTGCCAGACCAACTCAGTCCTCCAACCTCCAAACTCTCAGTGTCTCCTTCCAGTTGTTCCTTCATACTCACACACCCTGTCTTGTTTCTAAGGAAAATGTCTCTGAAATGGCTTGTTTGGAGCCTTACTGCTCTCAGAGCATAGGCTGCAGTACCCTGGGGGTGAAAGGATCAGAAGCAACCAGGCTTACCTTTCCTTGGGCGCTTAAGAATTAAGGATAATCCCCAGCTGGGTGAAAGGCTCTTAGTGTTTTGTTAGATGCAACAAAAAGTTGAGAAGTAGATGAGCTTTCCTCCCCTCTCATAGGACCCACTGGGCCCATTCGTGGATATGTACTTCTATTCTTAGAAACAAAACAATTTTCTTTTAAGGGTCAAATCTTGTGGTTATCTTTTCTATTCTGGGACAGTCCTAATCCCTGGGCCTCAGTTTCCCCACCTTCCCATTAAGTAGGGAGTGTTCAGTTGATCATACACAAGTGTACAACCATCCCATTTTGCAGATAAAGAAATCAAGGCCCAGAGAAGAGGAGTGACTTGGCAGAACTCACACAGGGGCTGTGATGGGATATGAATCTGGGTTTCTGACTCCCAGTGTCTAGCCAGTAAGTACAAATTGTATCATCTCAGCAGAGTCTGATGTTCTTCACTCCTTATTCTATGTGTCTTCACCTTGCCTTCTCAACTAGCTTGTCAGCTCCTCAGGGGCAGGGCCTATGACTTGGCCTTCTTTTATGTCCCTCGAGGTGCCCAGGCACTTAGCGGGGTTCTGTGGACTTAAGCAAGGAGGGGTTATTGATGGAACACAGGACTGGTGGATTTTGGCTGGAGAGAAGATGTCAAGATTGATCCAGAGTTTGAGCACTACTCACATGGCCAAATGTGAATGGAGGTTTTGGGTAGCGCCTTACCAGCTGGGTGACTTTGGACAAGTTTCTTAACTTCGCTGAGCCTGTTTCAACTGTGAAACTGAGAATGACAATACCTGCTCCACATGGTTGTTTGAGGATTTAATATAGCCCATGCCTGATACTAGCTTATTTTCGTTATAGTTGTTATTACTATAATTAGGTAGAGGAAAGTATAGGGCTACTGAGATCTGGAGGCCTTGCAGAACTACAGTAAGTTCCAATGATTCTGGTGGAGGAGGTGAAGTGGATTGAGAGAAAATGAAGCAACTCCAATTCCCGGTGCTCAAAAGACCTGTAATTAGCTTGTAAACTCCACCCCATCACCAAGGCAAAATGGGTGGGGCTGCCCCTTCCTGTTTCCGTACAAGTCCTCCAGAGGTCAGTTACTTTCTTAGACTCCTCTGAGGCAGTACTCAGTGTTCATTCAGACTTGGCTTCACCTGTGTACAGAGGGGCGAATCCAGGGCAGAGGCAGCGCTCATGCGACTTGCACTGACCACATACCCCTCCTAGAAACTGGCAGCTGGCTCTTCCAGCATGGCCAGCCTGTGACTGACTATCAGCTCTAGCAGGACTGGATCATGGAGATAAGGGCCATGCCTCTAACTGTGCAGGCCACTTTGCTGGGTGGAGACTGGGTGAGCCATCAAGCTGAAAGAATGTTGACAAAGCCATGGGAGCAGAATTCCCCTCTGACTTCTGGAAGAAAATAATGGCTGAGAGACAGATTTGCTGGAAGTCTCTTTTCAAGAAATTTTATCTCAGGAGTCAACAACCTAGGCACTACTGCTTAGGTTAGCCCACAAACTGGTTTCCATCAGCGTGGCCCAGGCTGACAGGTGAGGCTTGGCTTGTGGTTCTTCCAACTCCTGACATGGGGTCCTCTTCCTGCTAACTGAAAGGCTGGAGGTTCAAGTCCATCCAGAGGCAGCTGGGAAGAGAAGCAATGATTTACTTCCAAAAAATAGAGTACAGTTCTACTCTGACCTATATGAGGTTGCCGTGAGTCGTAATCGACTCAAAAGCAGCTGGTTTCAACAGGTATATATATATGGCAACCCCATGTACAATAGAATGAAGTGTTGCCCAGTCCTGTGCCATCTTCATGATTGTTTGTTTTCCACCTTATAACAAGTATTGTTATTGTTATATATATACACACATATATAATATA